GAAGGTATGGTTCAAATAATTTGCAGCATTGACATTCAGAAGTGATTGTATTGAGATAATGAATTACAATCAAATGAGCTTACTTGTCAATATGTGAGGTAAAACAAAGCACTCATGATTGTATGTTACTATTTATACATTGTTTTAGCTCAGAAAGGAGAGAGAGGGGAGGGGGCCTTGGCTGGTGACTTTGCATTTACATCCCTGAATAAAACCTCAATTGTACCATATACTGTAGAATTCAAAAAGATCTAGATGATGTTTTTCACTGATATAAAACAACTAATGCACCAAGATTAACTGTATTATAATTTGTGTATCAGAAATAATTTCTAAAAATTGTTAAAATCCCAATTTTTTGCCTTAAAAACAAAGCAACTGGAAAATTATACACTTTTGGTGTAAAGTTGGTGCAAGGAATCACTCTTTATTTCAGGAAATATGATAGTACCAGGTAACCAAGCAAACAGTCACTACAGACACTATATATACATACAATTAAAAGTGCTTCACAATATTAAAATCAATCATAGATATTCAGAGGTATCATCAGGTGAGTTTTCCACAGTAATTTGTCATCAGTGTCACAAAGCATATTCGTTTATCAGCAGTAACATTAACATTTTCAATTTGACGTTACATTATAACTGTCTACAGCAGACAAGCCTAATCCTTGGTCGAAAAAAAAAATATCTGCCAGATTGCAGCAAACTTCAAATGCATGTACCAGTAATTTAACTTTTTTGAGAGTTAGTTATAAACACATAGTCAGCCTCTACAGTGTATTTATGTTATATTTATGTTATGTGAAACCAGTCTTTTCTGATATGCCGGTACTTATTGTAAATTTCTCATTAGTTTTTGTGTTATTCAGTTTAGACAGGTTTCACTTCACTTGACTGGAAAAATAATAAAGGAGTAACATTTTTAATTCCCACCGACACACTAAACTGAATGCATTAATTTTTACAAGAATAAATTGTTCAACTTATTACTGAGAAAAACAAATTTGTAGCAGATTTATTTTTCGCTGCTAAAACTTGTAAAATATTCTTCAGGATTGAGCTGGAGATTCGTTTTCCTAACTTTCAGTGATTTTCTAAAATTTTGTATTAGTACAGACGATGAGCACAGGAACAGTAAGTTTCATGGTTCTCACTCAAAATGTAAATTATAAAATCATGAAGAAGCCATTTACAGTTCTTGAAGAATGTAGATGAGCAATCAATATTTATTCCAACTATAATCCACTGCTCTCTATTAAAAACATTATAATTATCTCAAGGTAGAAACAGGGGAAAAACAAGTTAAAAATTGATCTGTTATTCAGACATTTTTTAAAACTGTTGGTAGCATATCCATAGTTATATGGTTGTTGCTAGGAAACAAAGGCAGATAAAGAAAAACCAAGATGCGATCATCTAGCCTACATTGTTATGAACATCATGTGCAAATTAAGTCACAGGTCATTCATGTGTTAAAGAACACAAAAGTACAATAGTGATATTATCCAAATGATTCCTTAGACAAACATTGGTATGGCATAGTACCGTATTGCTTAGCAATGTTTGGAGTAGATCTGAATCACAAATAATTTTTTTTCCCCCGTTGCTACCTTAAGTATGCAATACTTTAACCTGTGAACTATGACCTCACCAATTTGAACCCATGACCTGTGTCAATGACAAGCGGTGAAAGCCATTTCATTTTACACCTTTTAACACACCGAATACACGGGTCACAACAACCGAAAATGTTTGTATTTCCTGGTATACTTAGAACTTTTATGAAGGGTCTTGTAATGCTGGGAAAACTGTTTTGCCAATGCGATTCAATATCTTGCTCTGTTGGCGAATGGAAACTGAAATCACTCCATCGTCGGGAAACGCCATAACTGGCTCTAACTACCCGGCCTTGCTGACTCCAATTAACATCAGTTTCCGAGGAACAGTTATAGTCCACCCATTCACTGGTGAAGTCGCCAATATTAATAGACGTACCCGTTTCAGGGTCTGTTGACTTTTCAGTGATAAATGATTGGACAGCGATATAGCTCTCCCTGTCTCTACGAGCTTGTTTGATCCAACCCTGTGAGTATTTGGTATCCATGACGATGATGAGTCTTGATCCAGAGTCGGCGCAAGCCTCATTCCACCATTCAACCAAAGTTTCAAACTTTAGAGATACATCCCCTGTAATGAACACAGCCTAAGTGGTTAAATGTACAAAGCAATGCAACATTTTTGAAATCATTCAACTAAATGTTTATCTAGAATCCTTTGTATTTCATTGTATAATATATATCACAATATGTATGTTTTTCATCCATTTGTAACCAAAAAATACAAAAATGATATCTCAAAATAGAAACATACTCATGCAAGCCTCTTATAACTATTGCTCTTTCACGGCTGTTGTTAACTTTTACCCTTGACATTTTAACAATAATGTCAACTTGAGTTGGCTTTTTTCTGCTTTTTAATAAAAAAAAAATAATGAACTCAAAATTGTCAATGTTCAATTTCGAGAACAAACGGGTTTCTGTATTCCTGTTATGAAGAATATTGAAAATTTACATCTGCTTTCTGGGAACTGCTTTGCAACAAGTTTCAACAAGGATCCTCTGTTTGACATTATTGGAAGAAAAAAGATATTTTAGTGAGAATACCTGCTAATGCCCAGTCTCCATTGGGTTGTACATGTCCACTATAGAAAACTACATAGGTATCATATCGCGGTCCATCTTTAGTCATTTTATCAAACAATCCTTTTAATTTGGCCTCAACAGTATCTAATGTAAGTCCACTTGTAGAGTAATCACAACTGAAGATATCAATCATATGATGAAGAAAGAAACGCTGCATAGTGTTCAGTATCTCTGTAGATCTGACACTGTGTTCCTGGATTGCATTGGCAGGTAAGATCACAGTTTCACCATCAAGTCTGTGAAAAGAGAAAATACAATAAATGGTAGTAAAATA